GATGTCGTCCAACCTAAGAGCGATGGTCTCCAACCTAAGAGTGATGGTCTCCAAAATTTGTAGCCAAGGATTCTACATTTTCTGTACTTGCAGACTCGCGTGATGCTTCAACTCCATCGTATTGGTGAGCTTTGGCAGATCAAGGAGACCGCTTTGATCATTGCTTATGTGGTGTCTTGACAGCACCTACGCCCCTATGTCTTGGAATACTTCTGCTCAAGCCGTGCCGTTCTATGTTCATTCTATGTAAGTCCAAGAGAAGCAGGCGGCATGGAGATTTTAAAATGAACTTCTTGGCAACCTGAAATCCGGAACGTTTCGGGCGAACGCATCCGCGATTTCGATGGTGAGGCCACCTTGACTTCTTGGGTGATGTGCATGGTAAGGCTGCCAGGCGCATGGATTTGTCCGAGCCATATTCTGAATGAGTCTGGTTGTGTCAACTGAAGCAACAAAAGGTTGCGCAGTTCTGACGGAGCCACGCGGAAGAAAGACCAAAAAAGCTATTAGAAACAAGTGCATCGCTACTAGTAACAAGTGCCTTACTAGTAACAAGAAGCTATTAGAAACAAGAAGCTATCACTCAAATGGCCTGGTTCAGCAGTGCCTTGTGCGAGATGAACCGTGGATCGGACGTGTCCCTCCGCCGGAGAACGGAGGGAAACCGGAGGTGTCCGACCGGTGCACGACGACCGTTGGTTTGTTCAGGTGAAACGGTGCATTCCTCAGGCTCGGCCTGATAAGCTCTTGAGAGGTATGGAAGAAAGCCTTTGTTCTTGTAAGGTACCAAGGTACGGCAAGGTGTAGTTAAGTAGTAAATGGATGTAAATGGATTTTGGGAAGTTCAAGACAGAAGAACGCTCTTGCTGGCCGTAGAACGCATGCTGCGAAGCTGGGCTGTGGCACGTTATCCGGCAGGACAAAATGTCACCGGCCAAAGGCAAAGGCGAAGTGCTCAGAGCAAACAAAGGCGGAAACCAGAACACCCAAGGCTTCAAGGGCTTGCAGCTACAGCCGCATGCTGCGTCTCAGAAAAGAACTTTCTAAGGAAACTTAATGTTTCCGTGACTTGAAAAGGACAGAGCAGACAGAGTTGAGGTTGTATTTAATAATATGTTTGGACCGCTAACTTCCAATCACTCAAAATGCACAAGTCAATGAGTCGAGCAATGACTCCCACCCACCAATGCCTCACATCCGTACGGCGTGCAAGTTGTTGGCGAATGTTGTTTCGCACAGGCAAGGGCGGCAAGGGGAAAGGTGCACCTCCATCCTACAATGGCCTGATTCCTAGAGCTGGCCAGGGAGTTGGGAGTTGTATACAAAGATAGCTACGTTGGTAGCATCCTTGCTCCTAGTAGTAATGCCTTTGTTACTAGTAGCGTCCTTGCTCCTAGTAGTGATTGCCCTTTGTTCCTAGTAGCGATGCCCAATGGCCTGATTCCTAGAGCTGGGTAAAACGGTTTGTTGGGAATTGTATACAAGGACGATAGCTACGTTCGTAGCACTCCTGCCCTTTGTTTGTAGTAGCGTCCTCTTGTTACTAGATAGTAAGGCCAGGAGCGCCCCGTTCGGTTCGCGTCCTGGTTCCACCCAGGCGGCGGTCCTCCACCAGGCGGGGCTGCCTTCGGGGCCTTGGCGGCCTCGGCCACCGTGTGTTTCAATAGGCCAAGTCGTTGGTGAAGGCCTACTAGCGATGGCCTTCACCCTAAGAGCGATGGCCTCCAACCCACAAAGGCATAATCGTTCAGTTTCTTTTTGGAGGAAGTCTTTGTTTGGGTTTGGGAGATGGTGAATAGATATGTTCTTGAATGATTATGGATGTGCATGTGTCAATGATTCGTTGAAACGAGTTGTTGATGGATGTTTGGGGGTCGAATTGGTTGATCTTTTACGCACTCACAGACTTCACAGTCCAGGTTCCGGCGGATATCCTCCCAGCTATGGCTATGGCTACCCACCGCCTGCCTATGGAGGGTGCCCGGGCGGTCAGTTCCTCAGATGGGACTCTTCTTCGAGCCCCTCTTTCAGCCAAAAATCAGAAGCACATCATAGCCTGGATGTCAAACTGAGGCTATGGTGGATATCCTCCGCCTGGGCCCTATGGCTATCAGGCCAGATATCCGGAGATGTCATGATTTTCGTGAATCCCATCGCCCCTCTCAGAAGAACGTGGAAACAGACAGCGACTTTGGACTTTCTGGCCTGAGAGGGATGAAACGTTCTTCTCTTTCGAAGTTTCGTTGTCCTTTCGAAATCATACTTCAAGAACGCGCTGCGTAACGGAAAAACCAGACGTAACGGAAATCCTTTTAGCCGCTTTGGCCCAGGGCTATGGCTACCCACCCGGTTATGGTGCACCAGGCTACGGAGGTCAGCCTCCGCGTCGTCACGAGACTCTCACGTCGTCACAGACGCTGGTCTTCGACCGAAACGCGGGTCCTTTTTTGCGTTCGACCGAAAACAGGCTTTCACGAGATCCAGGCCTGTTTTGTTTTTTTTTTTCATGATCTTTCGTCCTTTTTTGCTTTTTCTAGATCTTTCATGATCTCTTTTCTAGTCTTGGGCTGCCTATCAACGTCTCGGACATAAGATCATGAGGTCTGACCCATTTGCAAAGGTTGTCCTTCCCACCAAATCAGATCCAGTCGTGCAAGAAGAGAAGTTGGTATGGGTGTGTGTGTGTGTCCAAAACAAAAAGACTCAAGGCTAATTGTTCATCTGTTTTTTCCTCGTTACAACTGCTTCCGCGTGCACCCTTTGTTTTTGGACCACGTTGCCACAGGTTATGGCGGGTATCCACCGAATGGCCCTGGTCGCACAGCAAAGAGCCACAGAGTGTCCTTTCGAACGAAGGAGAGCGAGCAAGAGAGAGAGAGAGAGAGAAGGGAATCTAATTGTAATGGCCTCCTGGCTTGGAACCTTCAGATATGTCTTGAAATGTATGTAGGCGGATTCCGATGGGCTTCAGAAGCAGAAAGAGGGCTTCTTGATGTGGAGTTCGCTGAAGAAGATCAAAAGGAACCTCCTCTGGTCAACCGAGGCTCCCTACTGAGCTTTGCATACTGCTCGATGAAAAAAAATACCCGGCAGTTCATCAACTCTAAACATTTGCTTTAGACTCGACTGTGTTTATAGTATTTTCGAATGTTATCCTTCAAGTCCTTGGCAGATCTGGTAAGTTGTCAATGCGTTGGAACGGAACCAAGACGCAGACGCGCGTCTCGGTTGTGGCAGCTACACCCGAAGTGACGTTCACCGGACCCCCTTGGCACGCCGGCCTTGGCGTGGAAGAGAGAGGGTCCGGCCATCCAAAGGGGAAGTGTAGACCATTTTTTCAGCGACGTCAGCGACGAGCGACGTCAGAGAATACATGTAAATCAAGAAATGGTATACCTGCGGAAAAGGACAAGGTGATGCAATACGCCTGCTATGGCTCAAGATTTGGAAGCGCTGCCATGTTGCGCGCAACGATTCGTGCCTCAGACAGCAAACGTTTTGGTCATCTGTTTGTTACAGCTCTTTGTGATGGGCGAAGCAGCAGGGGCTGTTCGACCGATTCATTGCGACCGATGTTTTTGAAAAACGGTCCAAATGTAGAGGTGTGGACAGACTTTCAGCCCCACACATACACCAAGCAATGTAGATATAATAGTTCATGCAGTCAGTTCCAATGCTCTTGCCTCCTCGGGCTAGATTCGGTGAACTCATTCAGGTTTGGTGATGAGCGCGGTCGTGAGCATGGGTGAGGAGTCCGGAAGGGGTTCTGTGGAGTTCAGTCGCTCCAGTCAGCTTCTGTTACTAGTAGCAATGCCCTTGTTCCTAGAAGCTTTTTGTTACCAGTTGAAGACGGGAGGTTTATCGGAACCTTCGATCAGACGGTGAAGTTCTGGAGTTGAGTCGGTTAGGCCAGGAGCCCCTAGTAGCATCCTTGTTCCTAGTAGCAATGCCCTTTTTGCTCCTAGTAGCGTCTTGATGAAACCCAGATGACAACTTGCCTCGTTCTTCACCAGGAGCCCATCGTGGAACCGCTTCCACCAGAAGGGGCCTTAGACTTTTCCGGTGTCGTTGGTGCAGACCAAGGGAGAAATGCTCCTTTCTTTCACATGTCACCAGCGAATATGTGCTCAATTGTCCTTCTATCCACAACCGATAGAAGCCGCTCGATTTTCCCATGCCCATATGCCAAGTGTCAGTTTTTCCCCGTGTTCTTGGAAGTCTGCAGAACCAGCTGGTCTTTCGGTCGAGGCTCCTCCCTTTTCTCTTCCCAGGTGCTTCCGCCCATGTTTCCATGCGACAACCAAAGCATCCGCCAGCATGCCCAGCACCAGCACATGAGAGGAGGCCGGAACGGCAGGAATGGCAGGGACGGCAGGGGCGAGCACCGTTGAGAGGCAAGCACAGCACCAAGTGCTAGAAAGCGTGGCTCAAGAATGGTCTTTTGCGTTTCGGTGTTTTCCTTTTCCCTGATGTTTCTTTTGATCCAATGATCCATGTTTGAAGGCTTGATCGTGGAAAAGGATGTATTTAAGTTGAAGTGAAGCCATTTGAACTTGCTTGCGCGAGAGGTTGTGCTGATGGTGCCAAGTGCTACGCTGCTCAGGACTCTCAGTGGATACCAGGTTCCAGGGAGACAAGTGGCAGCTTTTCCCCTGTTGAGACCTATGTGACGATTGCGTGAGGACATCGATCACTGTGGAACTGACACCTATTGTTGTGCTCCAGTCGAAACCTCAGGATGCGACATCACCCATCACTGGAGGTAGCAGCACTGCCAAGATTTGCAAACCCGAATAGGCCCGAAAAAGGCTCTATGAAGGAGAAGAGTCACTGAAAGGCTAGAATGGTTTCAATTCTGTAGCTGCAAGCATCCTGCAAGCTGCGTCTTACACAGCCGAGAAAAATCCAGGAATGTCACCACGGCTGATCATGCCTTGAAGTAAAGATCATAAGATCATGCCATGGTGTACGTATTTCTCTCACTGTGCATCTCATCGTGGGGGTTGACTACCGGACCTCAGGTGGTTCAGCAGTGCACTTCTGGTGCCACATGCTTTGCAACAGAGAGGAGTGACGACACGTCTGGAAGACGTGTCGTTTGCGTTGAGTTTTGGGTGTTCCCGACATAGGATGCCATGCTTGGAAAGGTGGATGTTTTTTGCCTTTTGATGCAAAGACTTGGCAGAATCGCACCCAGATGTCCGATTCTGTCCCAAAGTCTTCAAAAACGGAATCCTTTTGGTAAATCCCATCTTGTCCGGTCTAGAAAACCAAGACACCTTCCACCCGAACCCATCGTGAAGACGAGGATTGAGATGTGCGAACCTTGGGCGTCGTGCTGTGCGCCGACCGTGCGAACCTGCCTTTCGCCCTCTTGCAGTGAGGACGGACGGACGGACGGAACTGGTGGCTTGGTGAGTTGCAGGCGTGAAGGCGTAGCTCAGAACCCGCTTTGCTATGCCTGACTTGACTGAAGTATCAGTAAGCTTCTATAGGAACTGAAGGCAGGATGGCTCACGCTCGCACCAAACTCGACTTTTTCGGGGGAGGGAGCAGAGGCAAAAGTGATGAGTTAGAGTCTAAGAGGAACTCTGCCGACGTGGTTTACCAGCTGTTTTCACGAAGGATTCGGATGTCTTTGATGTCCCAGGGAGATAGTACTGCGCAAGAGAGGAGCTCGAAGGAAGTAGGACAAAAAGGAGAAACCAGCTACAAGCTTCTGGCAAAAAGCACGTTGAAGGTTACAAACAGATATGGAAACGACTGCTTTTGTGGCCAGGACTTTCCCGCATGTACTTCTGTGTAACCCAGGTGGGGACGAATTGGCCGGAGTCCGGACTTGTTGGATATCAGACAATCAGATTTTTCTACCATCTTATGTCTTGTGTCTTATGTCTCGTGTATACCTCTTATGTTATTTGTGCGCCAAAGTATTGGAAGAAACTGGTTTCTATTGGAACTGCAATGCGGCAGCAATGCGACAGTCGCAGTGGATCCTCACATCTTTGCAGGTTAGACACTGGCCAGTGAGGCCTTGTAAAGCTGTTTTTGGGAGATTGATTCCTTCATCTCGAAGGCACACTTCGGCACGGTTCCCAGTGGCCAAGCAATACAAGTCGACCCCAACAATCTTCCAGAATCTGAGGAGAAGAAATGGAAAAGACGCATCTCAAATCTCTAAACATGAAATTCTTGACCACATGGGGCTGTAGCCGAGGGTGCTCTCCCAGCCGCTTTGTTTGCGCCCATGTACAGCCGGCAACACGAGCTTCGACCCAGTTGGACCCGACGGTGATCACCTTAGGCCCTAGGCCAAGAGGAGGAGACCAGAAATTGACCAAACTACGTACGTTCACCGCGTTCTTGCGAGGAAGGAGGCTGTTGGAGTGTGTAGCGATGGTTTCCAGCCCATTCTGGTTGACAGTGACCAGTGACATCCAGTGACCATGTAGAAGTTTTGAAGCCTAGATTCTGCAGCGGTCGAATGCTGCTGGATCCAGGATCAGGCTGCTGGTCGAACGCTTTGCCCAGGGCCACTTGAACACATGTTCGGTGTAGCTCTTACAGCGGGAAAGATAGGGTTTGGTCGCAGACTGTCAGGAAATCCTGAACTGGCTGACCAGACTGTTTCCCTCGAATTCATCCAGCCGCATGGACCGGACGACCGCACGTCGGTTTCGGCAGACAGCGCAAAAGGGGCGCATAGATACCGAAGTTCCGGACGTGCCGTTTCTTGCTTCAGCTACTAGTAGTAACAAGTGCCACGCTAGTAGAAACAAGTGCCTTACTAGTAGTAACAAGAAGCTATTAGAAACGAGTGCATCGCTACTAGTAACAGCATGTTGAACTGCAGCATGTTTGTGGGTGGTGACAAGGGTTTACCTAGTTCAGTGTAAACTCTGGAAAGCCTAACAATCTGTTGGGCAAGAACGCTACTACTTGCCGCCACTGGTCTAGAAGATCTTGTTTGCTTCTGAACAGGTATTTCTGCTTTGAGAGCGGGCCTCACGAAAGGCGTGTCCAACTTCAAACAGGTCGTTCGGAGGATGAAGGGTTGCGCAGCTTCCACAATTTGCCTGAATCTTGCCATTGTTCTCAAGACCTCACATGTGCAGATTCAGGGTCTGCCAAGTTTGGCAGGCGCTGCTTGGGTTTTTTGTTTTCGTTTTGGTGGTGCTGAGTGGAGTTTTATGGTTTCCGCCACTCATGCATGCCAATGAGCCATGGCCACCCTTCCCCGTTTTTCGACCTCCTGGTCTCGACGCACCTCCTGTTTTGGGTTCTGCTCGTTCTCCTTCACAGACAACAAAGCAAACCAAGAAGCACGTGTCTCCGTCAAAGGCAAGGAGAGATTTTTCCCGAGCTGCGGCGAGAGAGCGTTTTCTGGCCAAGCTTTGTAAAGAAGAAAGCCACAAGGCAGATTGTTGTGAAGACCTGAGTCCGGTGCCTTTGGAGCAAGTTCTCAGGGCTGTGTTGGAGAAAAGTGACAATGCTTTCAGTGTGTTCTTCCGGTCTTGGCAGGAGCGCAAGCCCCCTGACAGGCCAGCTGGAAGACAACGAGACATTTTCCCCATCTCTCCGGTTGAACAGTGGGACTTCTCAGGACAAGTTTTTTCTGAAAGTGCGGGCCTTCTTTTTCTCAACGCATGCGTGGCGGCTCTCAACTTTCTGGCAGGTGACTTGAAGTTCGGCCAGGCCAGAGCTGACAGAAACCACCGGCACACTGCTGCTCAGCGAAGCGTCCTCAAGCACCTCGCTGATCGGGTTGCCAGGTTTCTTGGCGAAGTTGTGAGTCACTGCAGTGGTGACCGGGTACTGGTGGACAATGCGTTTGGGGATATTTGAAGGCAAGGCTGCGGGAAAGTATCCCACTTTACTTGCTGAAAAGGTTGACTTGCCCAACAAAGCTGGCACGTGCAACCCGCAGTGTTTGGTTCCGGACAGTTTGGCTTCTGCAGTTTCATCCCAAGAGGAGGTTTTCACTGTTGATGACGCAAGGCTGATGGAGACTGACTTGCATGTAGGAGTTGACCGGGAAGAGTACTTGAAACTAGTTGTCAGGCAGTTAGAGTGTGGCAAGACAAGGCTTCGACGTAACATTAAGGCGGTGGGCAGTGTTTTTTCTGTAGCCAAGTCTGGTGAGCGCCAGCGAGAAGTTTGGAACGGTTCCTTCGTTTCTGCGCTGGCCGAAAAGCCACCGCCACCAATGCTGTTGGCGAATCCTAGCTGTTTTGTTGACCTCGTTTTCCAACCCCATGAAGAAGTATTCATGTCCAAGCGTGATGTGCACACTTGTTTCGATGTGCTCAAGGCGCCGGAATCTCTGCAACCTTGGTTTGGCAGGCCCCCTGTGACTCTGTTTGAGTTGCAGCGAGTCACGGGCTTTCCCGTCGAATTGTTTTTGCCTTATGTGGCGGATGTTGAGACTTCGGACGTTGACATTGGTGAAAAGCTCTACCCTGCGAGCACTGTGTGGCCAATGGGCTTCAGTTGGTCTTCTTGCGTTGCACAGGCTTCTACTGTGGCCTGTTGTGTCGAAGCTGGTGTCCGCCAGGAAAGTTTTCTGTGCATGGACTCTCCGCCACCAGCGATTGGAGAGGCATGTGGGGTGGCTACAGATGACACTTTCTTTTTCCACACAGACAAAGTCTTGGGCTTGAAGCGCCTCAAGGCGTTGGATGCTGCCTTCGAAAGACATGGTATGCCGAAGAATGCTACGAAGGACGTCACTTTGCAAGACAATATGACTGCTTTGGGTTGCAAGCTTTCGGCCAAGCCAGGAGCAGCTGAACCAGTGAGTGCAAAAATGGTTCCGCTTTTTCTGGCTTGGCTGGGCCTTTTGTCTACACGCAGTGCCAGTCCTTTGGCTGTTAACAGGGCTTTGGGTGTGCAGCAGTGGTTCTGCCTATTGTCCCGTCCTTTGTTCAGTATTCTTGATCGAACGTATGAGTTCGTGCGGCAAGAGCCCGGAAACAAAATTGTGGATCTACCGGGCGGTGTTTGTGCAGAAATTGCTGTTTCAGTTTTTCTGATGCCTTTGTTGGGAGCTGACTTGGAACGGCAATATCTTCCACTTATCACTGCTTGCGATGCTTCCCCTGATTTCGGTTTTGGTGTGGCTTACATGAAATGTCAACAAGATGTCGCTGAACAGGTTGGCCGGTTGGCAGAGAGGAGGGGTGATTTTGTGAAATTTTTCCTTCAACCAGGAGAGCCTGAGCCAAAAGACAGGCTTGGTGTGCCACATCTTCTTCCTTTTCACCAGAAACAGTTCAGCATAGCCATCAGTGCGAAGGCAAAGTTTCAGGCCCACTCCGGCGCTCTTGAAGCTCATGGTTTGCTTTTGGCTTTGAAATGGCTGTGCAGACGACCGTCTCATTTTCACCACAGGTTGGTTGTCTTGATTGATGCAAAGGCAGTGCTGGGTGCGGCGAGCAAAGGGCGCACCTCAGCACCTGCCATTCGTGGTGTTGTGCGCCACATCGGCGCTTTACTGCTGGCCACTGGAACATTGCTTCGGCTGGTCTATGTTCCTACTGAGCATAACCCGGCGGATGCCCCTTCACGTGGTAAGCGTTTCAGGCACAAAGGCCGCGCTAGAAGACGCACAAAGCGGTCCAGATTTGGCACTGTTTTTCAAAGACGAATGGAGAAGTTTGTGGATGCAATCGGTCGACTCAAGCGGTTTTGCTAGTTTCATTTGGCTCCATACACATTTTTGCCTGTACAGTTTCATATTTTTCACACCTACACTCAGCCAGTGGCGTCCGGGAACGTTGTGACAGTGCTTTGTTTATACCCTGGCCGGCTTCAACCAGCTGCTGGCGAAGCTGGGTTCTGACGTCACTGATGTGAGTTACCGCAGTTTGCGCCCACTGCGAAGTACTTCCGAGTAGTCCAGCGTGATTGCTGGGCAGCTTGCTTTTGTGATATGCTGCTGCTGTCCCCTGAATCAGCACCTTCGCTGCATACACTTACAGGCTGCGTGCATGAGCCGGCACTTTTCTGTGCCAGTCGCCTGGTGGTTGGGATTTTGACACTTTGTGTGAAACTTTGGCAGCTTCTTTCGCTTGGACAATACGAGGTTCTCTT